TTTTTTACATGACCATGTTTCCCGAGTGTTGGTCCAGAAGGTGGCTTTGCCTCTCTTCCCACGTGTCCTCTGTAGTTCACGGTTATGGCAGATGGGACCAAACTAACAGAACAGGAGTGAAAATCCAACAGCAGCAAATGTCCCAGCCTGCTCCTTGCAGGCACATGCATTAGCCAAGTTTTTCTCAGTTTTAGGTCAAAATTGACAAATACAATGGAAGAATAACCTCGGCGGGGACGTCGCACAGGTGCGGTCGGGCACGTCCTTGGCTCCACAGGGAAGAACGGGGCAATGGGGCACGTTGTGTTGGAAGGTCAGCAGCTGCAGAGCAAACCCGCCCGACTCAGACCCGTCAGTGATGAATCGATGTCCTTCACTCTGCAAATGGCTGCACGGCACAGTGTCACTCCCGGAGTGATGGAGGGGTTTGTTGTTAAAGAAAGGGACAAATTAGGGCTGTGGCATATTTGGGACAAAAATCCCAGTTCAAGGCTAAAGTGTGGCTTCAGCTTTGAAATGTAACTCCATGATGACCTTCCCAAAAGCAAAGGTACCCTATGTTTGAAGGAGAAACCTGGATAGCTGTCAGCCTTGCTACGAGAGCCAATGACTTCACGTGTGCCAGCCCCATGTGCAGACATTGCCGTGGGGTGATCTCTGTCCCATAGCTGCAGAGTGGCTCCAGATACAGCAGGTGCCTTTTCCTTCAGCCTTTAGGTTCTCCCATGTCTATGGGTCTTTTGGAAATTTTGCCTGAGGTGTCCCTGTCCAATGCAGCAGGTTCCTGATAGATAAGGTGATGTTTGTGTTTGCTGGGAGGGAAAAGCTGGATTGTCTTGGAAAGGCAGAATGACCTACAGAAAGAGCTGGTTTTCCTACATGAGATTGGAGACTGGAAAAAAAAAAAAAAAAAAAAAGCAAATAAAATATAGATAGTCAGTGATGAATGTGATTTTTTTTAAATGGGCCCATAAAAACATTAATATTATCTCATGAAAGATGTGTCACTAAAACCTCAGAAGTAAAAATGAGTTAAATAGAGGATATACATTTTAATATCTGAATTGGTAGGAATCAAGTCCTGAGGTCCCAGCGGAGAGTGTCAGTATCTCGTGATAGGAAGATCTCCTGAGTTGTTGCAGATGTTGGGGACCCCTGGAGGAGAGCAAGGCCAGGGCTTTAGCTGAGCTAGAGCCCTTTTAAAGGACATGTGAGGTTTAGACAAGGATCAAAAGCCTTAGCTGATGGGGAGCTCAAATAAAAACACAGTCATGTTCTGGACGGAAAATAAGCCAGGTTTAGATGCTAATGAGGAAATATAAGTCCAAGTCAAAACCTGTGCTCTGCTGTATGAAATGGGTCTGCAGAGACTGGCGTGATGGCAGAGTTCATTTGACTAATCAGAGGCGTCTATTAGTGCAAAACACTTCCAAATGGGAAGGAAAATTGTTTTCCTCTTTTTTTTTTTCCCCCATCAAAATGCTGGCATACATTTTTAAGGAGAGTTGCTCTCTTTGTGTTTTCCCTCCTGCCATGATGCCGGCTCTTGGCGAGGGGACGAGGATGTGGGAATGGGTCCATGTTGACATTGGGCTTGGGGGCTGCGGTTTCGATGTTGCACCAGCTCAGGGAAGGTGTTGCCTCCCAAGATGGGGAGATGCGGAGGTGTTGCCTCCAGAAGGACTGGATTTGCTGTGGGTTGGCCAGCTGTCCCCAGGGAGATGTGGTCATTTGGGATGATCCATAATGAAGCGTGTGTAAATCCACCCACCTGCAGCAACTTCATCTGGATTTTACGCTTCTCCTCTCCTCAGTTCGCTCCTCTACAACTTTTCCTTTCCCCCTCCCTCCCCTTGCAGATGGGCTGGGAGGGGAGCAGCCGCTGCTGGTATGTTGAAAGCATCAGCCGGGGTCTTTGGAGGCTGCTGCTCCTGTAGATATGAAGGACCTGGGCCACGTTTGATACCAGGCGAACGTGGCACAGCCTAATTAGTGGTCTCCTACTGTTATTAACCCCTGACTCAGGCAGGCTATTTTTTAACAGGGGTACAAGAAGTTAATACTAGTGCTAATCGCTTCATATCCGAGGCCTTAATGAAAGCCGTGCAGGGACCAGGCCTATCATCAATATTGTTCAAACTTTGAACTTGAAATGATCCCTTCTCCATCTTTTTTTTTTTTTTTTTTACGGCGCCGGTGTTTGCCTTTCTGCCCACTTTCCCACCTCCTCTGGGGTCTCCCAGCCCCGTAGCACAAGCTGGGTTGGCACCCACCAGCCCCATGGCAGAGCTGAACCCCTACACCACCCAGATCAATGGCCCCAGTTGGCTACATGGGTCACCGTGGTGTCTCCCGTCAGGTCTGCTTGGAAATGCAAGACAAAGATAAAAGGGGAATGCATTGGACTGGGAGAAGTGACAGCAAAGAGATGCCGTGTTAGGGAGGAAGCTTGGTCTTGGCCTTAGTCTTGGTCTTGGTGTTGGCTTGGTCTTGGTCTTGTTTGAACCAAACTCCAGCAGAACTTCACAGGCGCAGGAAAGTATTTGTATATATAAATTTTTCAAGAAGAAATGGAGTGGGATAGGAGCAGCTGGAGTGTTGCTAAGACCCTCGAGGAGAGGAGGAGGAGGTCCAAGGATGAAGTTCTCTCATGCAGGCACTACCTCAAGAGCCTTTTCCCGGGGCAGGAGCAGAGGCAATGGAGCAACCTTTCCCTGTGGTGTGATGGAGGGGTCACAGCCTGCTGGTTTGGGGTGATGGCAGTTGATTTCTGGGGTGCTTTCCTCTGATTTTAGCACTTTGAACTTGTGTGCAATGCAGCAGCAGGGTCATGTCGTGATGTCTGGTGGGAAAGGATAACACACTCAGGCTCTGTTCCTGGATTGAGCTCTTTTAAAACAGGAATACATTTTTTATTGAGATATATTTTTCATCTTAAAAATAAGCCTGTTTAAATAAATTTGAAATTATGACAACCTATTTTAAGGCTTAAATTTACTATAATCTATTAATCATTTAAATAACTTCCATCAAAGAGTCCTCCTCAAATATTAATGAGCTGGAGGGTGCTGCTTTTTCAGTGATATGTCAGATCAGGGGGAAAACATCTTTCCCTCTAGCTTTCTAAATGTCACAATATCATATACTTAGTATCTACTATTTTCACTTTTTACAATGGAGCAAATGCTGGTATTTACACTTTGCCAAATGTCAGTACGTTGAGTTCCTGTTGTGCGTAAAAGCTCTCGCCTTAATTACTCCTAATTTCACGTTAGCAGGCAGGTGCGGGGAGAATATTTTCTTCCATCCGAGCTGGTTCATTTGAAGTTGAGAAGCCGTGGGGAGCTGGAGGAAGCAGGAAAGCTTTTTTTCGTTTTTCAGCCCATGAATAAAGGCCAGGTGGGAAAGGAGGAGACGGGCTTTTTCAAACCCTCCCGGCTTCCAGGACCAGCTTTTCAAAGCGGGGTCTGTGGACAGAGGGAATTTCCAAAGTGCTTCTGGCATCCGAGTTGCTTTAACTCCGCTGGGTTTTGCTTGGAGAGCTCAGTATCTCTCTGCTTGGGACACTCCAAGCGCACTGATTACCACCAGAAATACAGCCCGTGCTGAGCAGAAACAATCTGCCAATTTGCTCGCTGCGGCTAATGTTTCTTTTGATTAATCAAATCAGTTTGGGAGGACAAACCTGGTTCCTGATGCAGATTTCTTTCCTCTTCCTCCTCCCCTCCCCAGGAGCTAGCTCACTTAAGGCAGCCTAATGAAATTAATTAACAGTAAATTTTAAATGTTTTTTCGGTGCTGTAATTGAATTCCAGTTTTCATTTGAAGGCAGCACGAAACAAGCAAAATAAAGATGACAATTTGCAAAATGAGATGGGCTCTTTCCAAATTCCAGCAAAACGCACAGCTATGAATGGGATGGAGCGGACGGGGCTGGCTGGACCATTCCCACAGGGCAGGGACAGGAGGAAAAGCTGTGTCTTGCTGGGAAGCTCATCCTGTTTTTAACGGTCATTCCAACAAATGCAATTGAATCTTGTTTTTTTCAGGAAAAATCACTAAGGGGCAAATGGCAGGCTGGAGCTGATGGCTGAGATCAAGATGGTTTGGGACGGTGATGGAGATGATGGGCTCCAAGGTGCAGGTGGTGGTTAAAACAGTGCCCATCTCTCTGAACGATGTCCTCCTGTTACCCCCCTTTTTGCTAAGACCCAGCTCTGGGGTGTCCCTGAAATTGTGGAGCTGGCCAAGTGAATTGGGTTTGATGTGGTATGGAATATCCCGCGGCACTTGTGTCCTCGCCCTCAGCTGCTCCTCCTGCTTGGGTGTCCTCTGCTCATCAGCCCAGCTCTGACCCTCTGTCCCACTGCCACTACACCCCAAAGGGAATTGAGGAAAGTCAGGGTGTTTGGGCAGAAGGTGTGGGTATGTGTGCAGATCTCAGGGCTGTGTGCTGTGCGGGAAACTGAAAAAAGTGGCTGGAGACTGAGAACCTCTGAAGGCACCTCAATCAGAGCCAGAACTGCCAGTGCCATTGCAGCCACGTGCATGTTTCTCCATTCATGAAGGACAGGGAAATATTTTCTGTTTGCAATAATTTAGTGCCACAATTCCGGTGATCCTATTAGTGCCTCTGAGTTGTCCGATACCCTCCACTCCCCATGGCCAGAGCTGTATTTCATGTGGAGCACGTGGGTGAAACTTGTCTGAGTTAGGGCTGGAAGGATGCTGCTGGGCTCCCCAGCTCTGGCTTCGAGATGCTGTCAGTAAGTGCTCTGCCTCTGCACCACATCTGGATTTTTGGAGGGACCCGTATCTGGATTTTACCCAGCAATATGATTTTACTCTGCTTTATCCCTTCCGGTTGTGGGTCATGTAGGGACAGCCATGGTGCGGACAGGAGGTGACCGGAGGGGACCTGCTGTGTGTGTCCCTTAGTCCCTCCACCCATTTTTGGGGAAGAGGCGAATGGCCCCCCATCATCTGCTTTGCTTTTGCAGAGATCTCGGGCAACACGGACGACATCCCGCTGGTGCGCTGGCGGCAGCAGTGGCTGGAGAACGGCACCTTGCTCTTCCACATCCACCACCAAGATGGGGCTCCCAACCTCCCTGGCTTCGACCCCACGGACGAGCCCCAGACCGAGTCAGCGGAGGAGGAGCTGAGGATCCTCCACATCTCTGTCATGGTACGTGATGATGAAGACAGCCCCGTTTAGGTGTTCAGAAACCTGTAGAAAATAGAGGGGCTTGGGAAAAGCCATAGATTTCCCTGTCTGGGTCCACCTGCCTGAGGATGGGGAGCTCAGCCGAGCTTTGGGGGCTGGTTGAGGTGCCCGGGACACCTCTCCATCAGGCTGCTTGAGACTTCGCCCTTAGTTTGTGTCACTTTGCAAATATGTTTGCAGGGTGCCTTTAGCCCTGGGGGTTGCTAAGCTTTGAAGGTCTGAACCACCATAACCTGGGGTTAATTCACATTGACTTTGTCAGGAGCCCTTTGCCCAATGGCTGGTGCCTGGCATCCGCTGCTTCGGCACGCGGTGGGTGTCACAGTGCCGCTGGGCACTGTCACCGCTGCTTTTATCAGCGTGGCAGCCCCGTGGCAGCCGTTTGGCAGCACGCAGTAAGCCAGAGCATCCCATGCGCGGAGGTTGCACGGCTCTCCTCCTCCCTGCAGAAACACGGGGATGAGGGTTTGATGGCAGAGAAAAGAGGGCGAGAGTGTTGGAGGTAGATCTGTGGTTTGTTGGTTGTTGGTTTTTTTTTTCCTTGTGTTGGAAAAAATCAGAAGAATCTGACAATTTTTGTGCCGCTGGAAGATAATTAGCTGGAGACAATGTGTTGCCGAGGCTGCAAACAGGCTGTTTAATGGTGCCTACCCTAATGAGACCGTCAATAACTCTTCCAGATTGCGGCCCCAGGCCGGGTTTCTCCTCCATCATTTGTGCTTAATTAGTCTCGAGGAGAAAAAAAAAAAAGCCACCCCCAAAAAACCATTTTGGACTGTTTCCTTTTTTTTTTGTTTTTTAATTGTCTGTAGTCAGCTGCTCCCGAGAGGGTGGGTTGCCTCTGGAGAGGCTGGCCCTGCTCTGCCACCGTGGTTTTGGTTTTTGTGGGCACCACAATGGAGACAGGAGAGCCTGAAACAAGACTTGTTATTGAGCTGATGAAAGTGATGTCTTTAACTCATCGCTCTTGTACCAAAATGTATAAATATAGCTTGAATCCTCCCTCTCCTCCTTTTCCCCATCGCTCTCAGCTCCGCTCCGGCAGCATCCTTACTCCCTGACAAACAGAGGTTGGCTTTTGTGCCAGGAGTCAGGATCACGTGGAGTTTTCAAGGCTGATTTTCTTTCTTTCCTCGTGTGGTTGCCAAGAGAAGAAGTGGGAGCACGAGACTGTATCCATCGTGACAGCGGTCCGCACGTGGACCCTGCCAGAAGCGCTCCCGTGCCTGCCCGGCTCCTCTTGCAGCCGCCGTACCAGTGCTGGGTGGTGGGGGATGGAGGCAGGACGGGATTTCTGTGCTCCCGTGGAGAGGAACTGGGGGTCTGAGGTGCAGGTTCGATTAAATACCAGGTGTTTTTTGGGAACCCACAGCTGCAGTCCTAATCAAATGGGCGTCCACCCAACTCGAGCTCCGGCTTGGTCTCCCACGTTGACAGTGCGGGTGTACGGCAGAGCTCTCTGGTGTTTATGGGGCTTTAATGTGCATATGGAGGGCAGCAAAGGAAAGCCTGGAATGCCCTGGTATTGCTCCCATATGCTCATCACCCCGTCTGCAGCTGGACCCTTCCCTGGGTGATGGAGAGCTGCGATGTGGAAGACCATCCCCGGTGGGGAGGGGGATAACCCCTGCTTATGGATCAGAGGAACTCAAAGGGGTGTGAACGTGATAGAGTATTGGGCCCTGGCTTTACCCCTAAAAAACCTCAGGATGGGCAGGGCTGGTCAGGAATCCAGCGCCAGTTTTCAGCCCCAGCGTGAGCTTTCCTGTCCTCCTGGCTGCAGGCTCCTGGCCGGAGAGACGCCATGTGCCAGCCAGCCCCCCACCTCCGCTGGACTGCTTCCCTCCTTAATCACCGGAGTTTCTTTGGGTTTTATTTCTTTTTTTTCTTTTAAAGAAAGTTTGGAAGGAGGGCTGGGAGGGTGCATTGCAGTTCCATTCTCCTGGGAATGAAAGAGGGTTAAACCGTAATGGCCATTAGAGCTCTTCTCCCAGCTGCCTCTCCTGCTTCTCATTCAATAATTCCCTTAATGTTTTGTCCTAATGGAGCAGATTATTACTATTATTTTATTTTATCAAGATCACCTCTTGCATAGAAAAGAGGAGGGGGACTGGAGCGGATGGACATGGAGCTCTTAGCTGGCTCCATGTGCTCTTTATTATCATTATTAGTATTAGTGTTATGATTATTCTTGGCAGGCTGGGCGTAGAGGGGCAGCTTGGGCTTTCATCTTGCCGCCTTCGTGTGTGTGCAGTGACAATATCTCTGCAGGAGGGTGACCTTGGGGATGGTGACATGGTGGCAGGGCTGGGTGCACTTTTGGGGTCTGTCCCCGTGGGGTCTCTTCGCCTAGGCATTCCCCAAACAATGCTTCACTCATCTGGCTGTCCTGAGGCTTGGTCTCCTTTAATCTGTGCTGCAATGTCTGCTGGGTGCCCTGGGAACATCTCCCACAATTGAGAGTGACAGCACTGAAACCGGTTGGAAATGGGTCAGAAAAAAGTTGCCCGTGGGAGCGTTTGCCTGGAATAAATCTGATCTCTGCTTTCAAAGACATGTTGCGGGAGAGCAAAACAAAACACGTTCGGCTTTAAATGCTGCTTTTTCATGCCTGGTCCAGCTCCAGGCAGGCTCCAGCCGGGAGCGTTGGGCCAGTGCCGGGCGCTCCCAGTGCCAACACCCTCTTATCAGCACGACCGGGCTCCTCTCACCATTGCCTTCATTTTGACCACCCTGGAGCATCCCCAGGGCATTGGCATCCCCGGGGGAGTTGGCTGGCGAGGGTCCCCAGCTGAGCCCCCCGCTCGGCGTTTGTGCCCGCAGGGAGGGATGATCGCCCTGCTGCTCTCCATCCTCTGCCTGGTGATGATCCTCTACACCCGCCGGCGCTGGTGCAAGCGTCGGCGGGTGCCACAACCCCCAAAAAGAGCCCCAGCCGAGGCAGCCAACGACCAAAAAAGTGCCAGTGCCGAGGCAGCCAACGAGATCCACTACATCCCGTCAGTGCTGATTGGGGGCCACGGGCGGGAGAGCCTGCGCAACGCCCGCGTGCAGGGTCACAACTCCAGCGGGACGCTCAGCATCCGCGAGACCCCCATCCTGGATGGCTACGAGTACGACATCACTGACCTGCGGCATCACCTCCAGCGTGAGTGCATGAACGGCGGCGAGGACTTCGCCAGCCAGGTCACCCGGACCCTGGACTCGCTGCAGGGCTGCAACGAGAAGGCCAGCATGGACCTCACGCCAGGTGGGGCTGCGACACGGGGGAGGGAGGGCATAGGCTGAGCTGGGTCCTTTCCAACCCATCTTCTCTCCATCATTCCACACACATGTTTTCCCTTGAGTGTTTTCCCCATTTTTCTGGGTTTTCATTGCATGTTAGATGTTGGTGGCACTCTGAGTGCGCTTCCATGGCTGGGAGACCTTGCAGCTGGTTGAGAGCAGTCCCTGCTGAGCGGGATGTGGCTGGGACAGCGCAGGGTGGAGCTTTGAGGGGAAGGGTGGTGGTTCCTGTGGCCTGGTGGAGAACTAAATGGTGTCCCCTCCGAGCTACCTCATGGTGCCCCCAAAATTCCCTTCTATATCCCAAGATTTCCGGTTTCTTCTTCAGCTGAGATTTTTAGTGGCAAAATTATAGTTGCCATCAGTAGGATTCAGAGTTAACCCTGTCTTCTGATCACCAGCAGGGATTCTTTGAGGCTTGTAACACACTTGCTCATTGCCCCTATTACCAACTGAACCATCCAGCTGGAGCCTTCTCAGCTGAGACATGGCTTGGGAAGACCATGGTGTGGTTCCTAAAGCTCTCCAGGAGTTTTCTTTACAGACCTGGGTGTGCAGAAGTGCTTTGAGAGGCTGAATGTTAAATCTCGGCTTTGGGCTAGCTTGGTGGAGGTGCTGGTCCCCTTCAGGTTTTGAGGAGCTCGTGAAGGTGCACTGGCGGCAGCTTGGCGATTGGCCTTGGTACCCTGGTCGCCTCATGCAGATGCTGGAGATGGATCCAAGGAAATCTTGCTCTTTCTTGCCTTCCTCCTTTTTTAATTTTTTAAAATATTTATTGCTGAAAGATTTTGTCCTTCAATTCTTCCTGCTCAGGGAGCGATAACGCCAAGCTGTCCCTGATGAACAAGTACAAGGACAACATCATTGCCACCAGCCCAGTGGACTCGAACCACCAGCAAGCCACGCTGCTGTCCCACACCTCCAGCAGCCAGCGCAAGCGCATCAACAACAAGGCACGAGGTAGGGAGGGTCCCCGGGGAAACGGGGTGCTCTGGGCTTGCACCCACCCATGCTCCAGCATCTCACCCTCTTCTGCAGTGGAGAAATGGGGCCAGCCTTGGGCAAGAGCATGGAAAAGAGGGTTTGGGTAGGGGTAAGCAGAAGTGGTGTCTGCAAGGATGCAAATGATGTTGGGTTGGCTGGTTGCACAGATGTGAGGGAGCTGGCTGTGGTGAATATTTTATGATCTTGAGCATGGCCATGGGGAAGAGTTGCAAGGTGATGGGAGCCGTGGCAGGGAGCATGGCTGTGTGCGGTGGGAAGGGGAGAAGATGCTGTTCCATCTGGCAGACGGCTCCTGGGCTTCCAGGCGATGCTTACCCTGAAAGGGTGATGGAGGATGTGGCTGCTGGGGGTGCCACACTGCCAGCTCTGCCATGACCACGCTCCATGTCCTTCGCAGCCGGCTCAGCGTTCCTCAATCCCGAGGGGGACTCAGGGACAGAGGCGGACACTGATCCCCAGCTGACCTTCTACACAGACCCCTCCCGGAGCCGGAGGCGCAGCCGAGGTGGGTGTGGGCACAGAGGCGGGCAACAAGCCATGGCCCGTGTTGCCTTGTTTGCCATCACCTCTCTGGATTCAGAGACTTTCCATCAGAAAAAGATGGAAGCCTGGGTGCAATCCGGGCTGCCGTGGGCAGGTGCCAGTCTGCACTCCCAACAGTGGGCTGCTGCTGCTCTCCGGTGGAGTTTCTCAGCAGAGGATGAAATATATTCTGATTTTTTTTGCTGGAGGCTTTTGCTGGGCTCTGGTGTGTATTAATGAGTAACACACTTCAAAGGCTGGCCCGTGAGCTCCCGGGCCGCTGCTCAGCACGGTGCTGCTGCAGGTTCGCTCCAGCACTGTGCATGTACGAGCTGTGTGTGCGGCAGAAGATGGGGACAGCCTCGGTCCCCAGGGAGGAATCTCACCCCTCTGCCCTGCACCATCCCTCTGGGGGGTTTTCTCCTCTGGGGAGGAGAGTTGGTGTCTGTTTTCCCTCGCCGAGCCTTGTTTGCTGGATAGTGCCTTGTTTTTCTGGGAGTGGTGGGACTGGGAGGCTGGTTCAGGCTTTGCACAGGGGATAGCTCATCCCCCAGCCAGATTTTTCTGCTCAGCTTCTTCAGCTAAGAGTTTAAAAGCCAAAGACCTGTGTGCCCTGAGCAGTTAGGGCTCTCCGGAGCTTTTTCAAAGGCATCCAGGAGGCTGTTGTCATGGCAAAATTAACCCAAGAGAAGTGCCAAGAAAAAGGAGGAGGGAAAAAAAGGACATTCCGTTTGCCTTTCTTCTCCTCAATATCCCTCCTCCAAGTCCTGCTGCTGCAAAGGGCTTGGGGTGCAGTGGTGCTGGAGAGCCCAGGCTTGGGGAGACCCCCGCCATGGGAGGCAGAATGGAGGGAGCTGCCGCAGCAAAGGATGCTTCATGCTCTTCAAAACTCTAAGTTACTCCACTTGATTGGCTTGACACTGGATTTCCAGGGGGCTGGGCAGGGTCTCAGCACCCTGAGATCCCCCAGGATCTTCCTGGATCCCTTTTGTGTCTCTGGTTTGACTGTGCTTTTGTGTTCTGCAGTGGGCTCCCCCCGCAGCCCGGTGAACAAGACCACACTGACCCTCATCAGCGTGACGAGTTGTGTCATCAGCCTGGTGTGCTCTTCCCACATGAGCTGCCCCCTCGTCGTCAAGATCACCCTCCACGTCCCCGAGCACCTCATCGCCGATGGTGAGCTCCCCATGGTACTATCCATCCCCCCCACCCCTCCAGCCTTCCCCTTCCTGCCCCACTCTGTGAGCTGTCTTGGAAGGGAGGAGGGAGTGATGGAGAGGGAGGGTGTGGGGTGGGTGCGGAGCAGAGGGACAGGCATGGGACAGAGGGTACCAGTGTGGGACAGAGGGATGGAAGGGTACAGGGTGTGGGGGACGGGTGCAGGATGGCAATGGCTGTCATGGGATGGAGGGGATGGGCACAGCGTGGAGGGGATGGGTATGGGATGGAGGGATCCATCACAGCCAATGGAGGGGACCATCATGGGATGGAGGGCACCGTCATGGGATGGAGGGGTCCATCACAGCCAATGAAGGGGACCATCATGGGATGGAGGGGTCCATTATGGGATGGAGGGGACCATCATGGGATGAGGGAATCCATCACAGCCAATGGAGGGGACCCTCATGGAACAGCCAATGAAGGGGACCATCATGGGATGGAGGGGTCCATTATGGGATGGAGGGGACCATCATGGGATGAGGGAATCCATCACAGCCAATGGAGGGGACCATCATGGAATAGAGGGGTCCTTTAAGGGACGGAGGGGACCATCATGGGACAGAGGGATCCATTATGGGATGGAGGGGACCATCATGGGATGAGGGAATCCATCACAGCCAATGGAGGGGACCATCATGGAATAGAGGGGTCCTTTAAGGGACGGAGGGGACCATCATGGGACAGAGGGATCCATTATGGGATGGAGGGGACCATCATGGGACAGAGGGATCCATCATGGGATGGAGGGGTCCATCATGGGATGCAGGGGACCATCACAGGATGGAGCAGACAGCAGTGGGTCAACAAGGCTGACTCCCCTCTGGGTGGCAGGGAGCCGGTTCATCCTGCTGGAGGGGAGCCAGTTGGATGCCAGCGACTGGCTGAACCCGGCGCAGGTCGTCCTCTTCTCCCAGCAAAACTCCAGCGGGCCCTGGGCCCTGGACCTCTGCGCCCGGCGCCTCCTTGACCCCTGCGAGCACCAGTGTGACCCGGAGACTGGTAAGCTGTTGGGCTATTTGGGTGGGGAGCTTTGTTTAATCTGGGTTAGCAGCTTCCCAGTTGGCTCAGCTTACTTTTTTGGGGTGTCCGTGGCAAGCATCATCAACGTGTGGCAGGTTTTGGGAGCAGAGCATTTAACCCACATCCTTCGCTCTCCGTGCAGGAGTTGTCCCACAGCAGCGCTTATCCTTAGGCGTGCGCTCAGACCTGGAGCACTCACTACATATTAATTAAGCAGGAGCCAGGGTCACCCCCACCGCTCAGCCGGCTTCGGTGGGGTGGTGTTTTGTCATCTTGCTCCAGACATGAGAACGGAGCTGCCAGGTGCCCTGGGTGGCCGTGGGCTGGTTTTGGCAGGGGTGCACATGGAAAGCCTTGTCCCCCCGTGTCCCTTGTGTCCCTTTCTCTCTCCATAGGTGAGTGTCTCTGCTACGACGGTTACATGAAGGACCCTGTGCATAAGCATCTCTGCATCCGGAACGAGTGGGGAACAAACCAGGGGTGAGTGCACCCGCTGCAGCCTGCCTGGGCTTGGACTGTCCTCGCTGCTGGGCTTCAACAGCAGCATAGGAGTGCAGGAAATCCTCTCGGGTGAAAGAATTAGCAGTGTCTCGGTGAATTGTAAGGTCAGTGCATGGTTGTGCTCTGCAGCAGGTTCGTGGGAGGTGAGGATTTCTATTTTTGGAAATAATCAGAGGTGATGTAGAAGAGGCCATTGTTAGGTTTCAGAGTGAACACCCCCTGGAGAGAATCGAGGCTGCACCTCTTCCCCTTGTGGGCATGGTCCTGGATGTCTTGTGCTTTGTGGGGCTTTCGGTTTGGGTGTGCAAAGTGTCAGAGGAGGGCTGCAATCCCTGGCAGAGGAGGGAGGCTGCAGGGTGGCGATGCCTCGTTGAAAATTAGGCAAATTAGATGCTCTGATGCCATGGCCTGAGGGAACAGAGCAGTCGCTGGCTGCTCCACAGCTTTACACCCCCGGAAGTGCAGAGGGAAATTTTTCTGATGTTTCAGCAGCAATTTACTGGGGGATCCCAAACCTTCCCATCTCTCTGTGACCCTCGGGGGATGCTCCATCTGGTCCTTAACACTGATGGGTTGCTGACGTGCAGATGGGGACTTCCAGGGATGGCTGGAGGTAGTGTGCAGAAAGCCAAGACACCCCCAGAACCATAAGCCCCATGTGCACCAGCACTTCCAACCCCCTTTTTCCTCCCGTCCTCTGGTTGTGCCGCAGCTGGATCCGCGGCAGCATCGTCCCCGCGTGTGGCAGGACGCCCTCTCCGAAGTCATTAGTTTTCACAGCGGGAAGAAAAAAATCATCAAAGGCTGGGCTTGGTGGCACCCCTGCCGTGCCGTTGCTCAGGAGGATGGCAACTGTGGGGGGCTGCCCACGCCAGCCGTCCCCAGCTGCGTCCCCAGCTGCGTCCCTTTGAACTGAGACCTGGGGAGAGCACGGCTGCCCTGCCTCCAACTCCCATTCTGATTTTTTTACATTTCAAAAGCAGTTTAACAATTAAACCTGGTGCAGTAGACAAGGGCAGCCATCGTTGCAGGTGCCCTGAGCCAGGCTGGGGACAGGGTGATGCTCATGAGACACATGTCCCCATGCTGGGGACATGCTGAGTGTTGTGGTCAAGGTCTCCAAACCTCCCCGAGGTATTGCTGCTGGGGGGGGAGGTACAGAAATACAGGCAGAAATACAGCTCCCTGGGCTGTCAGTCCCCAGGAGACAAGTGTTCGACAGGGATGTCCCCAGCTCCTCTGTGCCCATCTCATAAGAGGCACTTGGCGATGGGGAGTGAGGTGTGGGGGGGGTTATTCCCCCTGCCAGAGACTTGCCCGTTTTGGCATGTGTTTGGTTTAGAAGGGTCTTGCAGTGGGTTGGAAAGAACCCACAGGCACCCACGGCCAATTTGGTGCCAGCCTGTGCCTTGGGCAGAGCCACCAGTGGTGTGCTGGACCTACTACCTTGCAAAAAGCAAGAAGGCAAATGACTTGTCCGTTGAGGCAGGGGGTACAAATGCATAAGCACGGGTGGAGAAGCGTTTGCTTCCTTCCCCTCTGCTTTGCCTTTGCTCCTGGGCGTGGGACCACAGCTTCACACTTTTCCTATGCACATTGCTCTTCTCGAGCTTCTTCCCTATCTGGCTGCTCCAGCACCTACAGAGAAAGTGGTGAAAAAGCTGCTTTCAGGTGAATTGGGACAAAATATAGATGGTAACAAGCAGGATTGAAGCTGAGAGCAGGAAGGACAAATCCATTCCAGCAGCCCTCTGGACTTGTTTGCAGCTCCAGACCCAGCTTTAGTCTCAGCAATGCCAACCCAAAAGGTGCTCAGCACCCACTCCATTCCTCTGGGGGATTTGGGGCCACTTTTCAGACCCACTTCCATCCTGATGTCCCTGCAGGAGCCTTCTCTGTGCCCATGCTTGAGCCTCTACCTCTCATCCTGTAAGAGTGTTCATACCTGTCTGGGATACATGTTGTCCTGGATCTCTTCTTATATACCAAAGTTGGCTGTGACAAGTTATACGCAGTGTTTCCAACATGCTTTTCTGTTTGGGGCAGAGAAACTGAGCAGATCTCTTTTTCCCCAAGGTTCAATGCAGCTCTAGACCATGGTGGGGCTGTCAAATTCCTTCTCCCCTTCTCTGCGCTCTCGAGAAGGCTCTGATGCTTTTTCAGCACCTCCCTCTGAGAGCTCCTCTCTCGAGCTGTTTGAAACCAGGGTCATTTTGTGTACCTTCCTTGAACTCGTCAGATTTTTGTTTCAGAAAATGGCAGCAGCTGAGACCACACTTCACCATCCCCGCCTGCAGCTTCCACTATTTATAGGGGCTCTTGAAAGTGTGGCCACACTCCACATCGTGATGCCGAGGCCAGCTCGATGTTTAATGAGGATTTTTTTTTTTTTCTGCACTGCGATCTGTTCCTGATGTCCAGGTGCTGCTTGGTGCAGCTCTGCCTGCGAGGGCGTGTGATGGTGGAGGTCTCTTCTACCCATCCAAGGTGTCCCCTTGGCCTCCACGGGGCCACGTGTGTGATGAATTCTCTTTGGTCCAGCAGAACCATCTTGTCAGAGCCCATTGAACTGAATAACTTGTGACTTTAACCTGGTATTTATGGGGTTGGGGTGCAGGTTGAGCTGGCAATCTGGAAACTCTGAACCCTTTGGTTTAGAGAGGTTTGCCATTGGTTTGTTTGTATTTACAGTGATTATGGGTTGACTCTGTGCCTGTTTGCTCAGCAGCATCTAATTTTGCTCATGAAGGCGAGCTCGTCTTCGAGCTTTATTGGCGACAGCCGCGAGGCTTTGTGTGTTGTGTGTATTTTGGGGTGCCACGCTGAGATCCATGCCACCGCGGTACATCTTTTACCCAATGCATCCGGTCCCTACATCTTCGTCAGTTTGTCAAAAAATAAGATCTTTTTGATCATGGGTAGCAGATACATTTCATCAACTGCTTTTTTTTTTTTTTGTGCTGCTCTTCAGCTGTTTTAAACAAATCTGCCTGGTGCTGTTTGTGCGTTCGCAGTCTGTCTCCCTGCTTTGATAAGCATTGTTAATTAGCTGCTTTTTGGCTCTTACTCTAACATTTCCTGGGTAAGATTCAGTTTCCAGCAATCCAACCAACCCTGCCTCATCTTTGCTCATCAAACCAAACTCCTGCAGTTATTTCATGGTATGACCTGACCAAAAGTCTCATCGTCTCATTCTGCCTTTAGTTAATAACCTGTTACCTGCCCGCATTTGTACTTCTTCATCTCAGCCCTTAGACCCCTCATGCTGTGGCCAATGACTTTCCCATCCCATGAGCTGCTCTTGCCTGGGTGGCCTTTCCAGACACCCCGATGAGATTTAAGACAGTTGGCATTTAAAGAGTCTTTAGCAACGTGCCCTTTCAACATGTAATGGGTTCTTCCCCAGTATGGCAAGCTTTTAGGCCAGTTTCAGAGAATTGGTGAATGCGTCTGGCTGGGTGCCATCATCCTCTTCTAGCAGCTGGCAAGTGGAGGCCACCCCAGCCCCCTCCCATGGGGTTCCCTCTTTCTCTACCCTGCAGCCTTGCAGCCTTTTTTTCCAGCACAGGACCCGAATGGGTGCCACAGCCCACTCCCTGCTCACCCACGTCCCCGCCCCATGGTGCCACTTCTCTTCTGTTGTCCCCCTCCCTGGCCATACATCCTCTCGTGCCCTATCCCACAGAGGAGCTGGGGACATGCTGAAATGACAAAGACAGCACTTCTCCTACTTAAAGTCTTTTTTTCCCCCCTCTTTTTATTTTTTCCTCTTTTTCTGTTTTTTTTTTTTCTTTCTTTCCCCACCCCTTTTTCTAGGTTTGGTTTTTTTTTTCCCCCTCTGCTTCTCTCCATCCCCTGCTGTGTGCCTCGGCTTTGCGAGCTTGAAGGACGGCCAGATAAAAAGCTCCTCTTTCTTTCAGATCCTTTCACCAAACCACCCATCCGCCTTCTCCTCCTCCCGCCCCGTTCTCCTCACAGATTTATGGGCAGCCCAGGGAGAAAGTGCTGGCATTAGCATTTTTAATAAAGAGCTGCTTGGAAGGGATGCCAGGGGGTGGGGAGGTGGGAAAGGGAGAGACACTGGCAGCTGAAGCCTGGGCAAAGCTGTTGCAAAGCAAAACCAAGTCAGGATGGGCATCGCCAGTGGGAGAAGTCGGCAGCTTGGTGCTTGTGTCTCATCTGTTTGTCCCGTGTTGGGGTGTTGGGTCCTCATGGGTCCCCACTTTGGGGATGGGTGGTGGGGCTACAGGAGGAGTGCGGGTACTGCAGGGATGCTTCTGGTCTGTTCAGGCTGGGGATGGGTGGTGAAGGGATGCAGTGGGTGCCTTGGTCCCCACCGCTTGCCCCCAGCATGCCCTTGGGGCTGGTGCTTTGCTGCCGTGATGGGCTCTGTGTGGCTGTCCCCATGTGGTGGAAACCCCCAGGAGCACCAGGGGGCAGGGAAATAGGCGTGAATTCACCTATTTCGGTGCATAACAGATGATCGCCTTCTCCTCCATAGAATCATAGAATGGTTAGGGTTGGAAAGGACCTTAAAGATCATCAAGTTCCAACCCCCTGCCATGCATTTCAGCCATGCACACGTGTGGCAACTTCTCCATGCCCTTTGAAAAGACCCTCATCTGCCACCTCCCCACATTCCAGCTGCTCCAGGTTCACTCTTCACGGCCACATCCTATGGGCACCGGGCTTTGACTCCTTATCCCACCTGTCTTGTCCAGAAGGACCAGGAGGAGCGTGGTTCGTGATGTTGGAAGTCAGGCTGGCTTTGTCCCCTTGGGATGGTAATTTGAGCATGGCCAGCATCCTGGTGAGATGGGTCAGAGCATCAATAGCAGCGTCAGCTCTGGAGGGCTTATAGTGTGTATTTTGGGAGCTTCCACTCAAACTCAGAGCTGGAGCAAAGCGTAGCTGATGGTCCAGCTGGAAAAAGCAGAGAGACCTGAAGATCATCCTGGGGATGCACTGGTTGGGAACTGAGTGCTGTCATTTATGGCTCTTTTCATCCAACCTGATCAGGCGCAGAGCTGCTTCTGCTCTGTCTCACTTTCCTTTGTGAGCTCTCAAGACCGTGGAACCACAATACCTGCCAAGAGCAACAAAAATACCAGAGCAGTGAGGTGCCTCCAGCCATCAAGGAAAGTGGGGATGGGGACAGCCGTGCGGGAGAAGAGGGAGGGGGTGACACAGTGGCGCAGGCAGGTGGGCAAAAGGCAACAATGGAGGAGGTGAGGTGTGGAAATGTTGGTGCTGAGCTCCTGGAGAGCTTCCTCCGAGATGAGGATGGACAAGTGCCTCTTGTTGAGCTGGAGCTCTTGTATGGGGACCATCCAAGGGTTTCCCTGCAGAAGGTGTGCGTTCTTGCAGACCCAACAGTGCCTGGCAGCAGTGGTTGTCCTTTACCACATCGGTGTATAGCTAAAGGCTGAACCTTCCTTTTGATGGGTCTTTTTTTGACCCCGAGTAGAGGCAAAGTAAGGCAGGCTGAGGAGATGCCACATGGTCCCTTCCTGGAGCATGGAAACCTCTTCCCCAGCTCAAAGCCATCATCACACGAATTTTAGCCCCAGTTGGAAATTGCACCCTGGGTGGACGCAACGCAGCCTGGGTGCTGATTTCCATCTCCCAGGCAGGTCCAAGCCCACTGGCTGAGTGTCCCAGGTGTGTTGGCATCCATGGGCTGCCAGATGTGCCATCTGACAGAGATCTGGCGGCCACTGTGCCCCTGCAGCACCGGCCCTGGGGCTGAGCTCCTCTGCCAGCCATGAGCAGCTCTTCACAACCGCTTTTCCACCCGAGTCGATGGGGAACAATACCTTGGCTCTGCTTTTGTTCCCTGCTTGCCATGCTCCTGAGAAGCATGAATAAAACCCATCTGCGGGAGCGCTGGAAGGCGGAGGCGTGAAGCATTCAAGGGGTCGGCAAGACTCGAGGAGCACATCACTTTCCGACCGAAGCTGACCTCATTCAGGGCAATCGGATCTGCGGGCTGAATGTAATCCCCTGCTCCTGACCAACCGGACGGGAAAGTGGCATTGTATCCCAGCGAGGAAATGAGACAGCACGTTGTAATCCTGTAATTCTTTTTCTTTTTTTTTTTTTTTTTTTTCCTTGCTAAAATAACTTCAGATTAGAAATTAAAAGTGCTTCTGCAGGAGAGCTGTAATTGCCTCTGGAGAAAATCCCTGGGTTTGTCGGCAGCACCCAATGCTTTCACCCTGAATTTTAACAGCAGTGATGCAACAAGATGGAGATATCTCTTTTTTTGCCCAGCTCTGAGCTCTTGCAAAGAAGATTTGGAGATTTAGGTTTTGGGAACAGGGTTCCAGCCCTTCTGCTTGGCTCCAGACTTCCATCTCACCTTCCAGACCCCTTGGCAAAGTCCCTCAGGGGCTGAGGCTTCCCGAGCCCCCCTCCTGAGACAGTAACCCCCGGGGCGGAATAAGGCAGGAGGTGAAGCTGCAGCCCTGGTGCTGACCTGCTCCCTTGCAAAAGCCTTGCAGAGAGATGGTTCAGCTGTGTTGTGGTTTTTCTTTTTGCAATTTGATGGCTGTGATGCAAATCGCTAAAATAAGAGCTGGGCAGGTGGTAGGCAAGTGTGCAGGAGCGTGAGGCTTGTGGATACGGGTGGCACTGGAGTGCAATGTACCCCAAAATAAAGGATGCAACACAACACCGACCCCTTGGCAGGCTGGGGTGAGGATCTGATGTTGTAGGAACCCTGAAATTAAGATCTGGGATGTGGGGCTATTTTACCACCTTGTCGTGGTTTAGTTTGAGCCGTCTCATCCCAGGACCCCTCTGCACATGAGCTAGGGCTGAGAAGGGGAAGGGTTCTGGGCTGTGAGCAGCTGCTGGTGTGTGATGCTGGTGTGATGCTCCTGGGTTTCTCCTCCAGGCCCTGGCCATACACCATCTTCCAGCGCGGCTTCGACTTGGTGCTGGGCGAGCAGCCATCCGACAAGATTTTTCGGTAAGCAGTAAAGGCAACTTGGTCAGCACATTTGGGGGTTAAAAATATGAGTCGGGGACTATGGGCAGGCTGATACCCCAGCTGGCAGGGCTGAGCATGGCTGTCCTGTGCCACCTCCTGGGGACACGTGAGCATGGCTGGCAAGGTGCTGCCACAGCTGCCGTGTGGGATGCTGGGTTCCTCCTCTCCATTCATGGTGAGAGCAAGGTTTAGGCTCTGAAGGTGGATTTCTAACAAATTTTTTTTCTAAATTGCATGGCTTTTTGGGGGTCATTTGGGTGCACTCACTCCAATTTACCCTGCCCATCTGCTTTTGCTCAGGCTGGCATCCCTGCAGGGCAGGGGGGGAGGTTCAAGGGTTTGATTTCGGGTAGAAGCAGCCCTCTGGGCTTGGCGTTTCCCTCCATGACAGCCTTTGCCGCTCTCCCCGGCAGGTTCACTTACACCCTGGGGGAAGGCATGTGGCTGCCGCTGAGCAAGAGCTTCGTCATCCCACCGGCCGAGCTGGCCATCAACCCCTCGGCCAAGTGCAAGACCGACATGACGGTGATGGAGGACGCGGTGGAGGTCAGGTAGGTGCTATGGTGGGGCCAGGGTGTTTAGGAGGCTTTTCAGCAATATAATTTGCTTTTCCGTAAATAAACCAGTGGTACATCGCTGGAGCGACGGGACCAACCCAAAGCATGTGGGGGTTGATGAGAGCAGGGACCCCCACCCCACAATTTGCAGGGGGAGATTAGAGCCTCCATTAACCTGCCTCTCTTTAGTGCCTGCAGAGCTGAGCCTTTGGAGGTAGCTCTCATCATCTTGATATTTCCCGCGTCCCTCTAAAAGCTTGGCTGCTGCTCAGTTCGCTGACAGCCTGAGGGAAACCTGAGCTCTGGAAAAATCCCCGCGGCAGCCATGGCCGTGTCTGCGTTCGCGCCGTCTCGTCAGAGCAGTGTCACACCTCCTCCTCCTCTTCCTTGCAGGGAAGAGCTGATGACCTCCTCCTCCTTCGACAGCCTGGAGGTCCTCCTTGACTCCTTCGGCCCCGTCCGTGACTGCTCCCGGGACAACGGCGGCTGCAGCAAGAACTTCCGCTGCATCTCGGACCGCAAGCTGGACTCCACGGGCTGCGTGGTGCGTGAACCCCCCCAGGGACCTGCAAATCTCCTCGGGTGTGAGCAAGGAGGGGGAGGGCAGAGAGGGAAGGGCTGCACTCTTCCTGCCTTCCTATCGCCTCGGGATGGGTATTTTGGGGTTGGATCTGGACCTCTGTCCAGGTCCTTGCTGCATGCACACATGAGGGATCCTGCTGGCTCTCCAGGAGGTCCCACATCACCCACGCATGTCCCCTGTCACTGCCACAACTCCTTTGCTGTGCAGGGAAAGCGTGTACCCCAAAACAGAGGGGTTTGTGTGGCCGGGGTGTCCTGCCATGATACCACCAGAGCTAGACATCTGGGTGGGGAGGCTGGGAGTGGGGGACAGCTGTTCGGCTTGGACAGGATGGCAATGCTTTGGCGGTCACTGGAGCTGGGTACCAGTGAGGAGGGTTGAAGCCAGCACATTACCTTGGTGGGGGGCATCTTGGGGGGCTCCCACCCCAGGGGCTGCACTCCCCAGGGGCAGAGGAAGTGGGAGCAAAATCTGCAGCCATGGGCAGTGTTGCCATGGTCCATCCCACAGCCCCTGAGCATCGCTCTGGCTGCAGTTCCCAATGGAGAGCTGCAGTGGAGCCCTCCCTCCATCTCACTCCTGGGGCCAGATTTCTTCCCTGGGGGCTTCACCTCTCGCTTCTGCCCCCCTACCAGTGCCCGACAGGACTGAGCCCCATGAAGGATGGCACGGGCTGCTATGACCGTCATGTGGGTGTGGACTGCTCAGATGGCTTCAACGGGGGCTGTGAGCAGCTGTGCCTCCAGCAGATGGTCCCATTGCCCGAGGAGCCCTTGCTCTACAATATCCTCATGTTCTGCGGGTGAGTGCCTTGTCACCGGCCTGGCCACGGGGACACCCCCACGGTGGTGCTGCTGGACCCTGCCGCTGCCACCCTGAGCTCGTAAGGTTGGGTGGCTTGGGAGGGAGGTGTCCTCTGGTCCTTGGTGTCCCTGCTGGGGTGACCTGGTGGCCCAACCAGTGGGGGCTGCAGCTGGTGGTGGACTCCCTGTTGGGTTCCCAGGTGCATCGAGGACTACAAGCTGGGCACGGACGGGCGGTCATGCCAGCTCATCTCGGAGTCGTGCCCTGAGGCGGGGGACTGCGGCGAGCCACGCGAGCTGCCCATGAACCAGACGCTCTTTGGGGAGATCTTCTACGGCTACAACAACCACTCCAAGGAGGTGGCTGTGGGGCAGGTGCTCAAAGGGACCTTCAGGTGAGTTGGGGATGTGGGGAGGTGACCCCAGCAGGGCCAGACCTTGCTGTCCTCTCCAAGAGGAAGGCATGGGAAGCAGCCTGGGGCTGGACTTTAGCACACTGCCTGGTCCATCCTCATCTGGTCAAGCTTTGCAGGGGCTGGTGGGGTGAGCGAAGCTTTCCATCGAGGCTAGACAACCGATGCCCAAAGGAAGGGCTTGGTGCTGAGTGGCTTTTTGGGATGGGTCATCAGCTGGTGGGGATGATCCCAGGCAGTTCCCTTGTCCTCCAGCCCTGCCCTCCTCTCTGCAATTAAATTCCAGGCAGAACAACTTTGCCCGGGGCCTGGAGCAGCAGCTGCCGGATGGGCTGGTGGTGGCCACGGTGCCCCTGGAGAACCAGTGCCAGGAGGAGCTCTCCGAACCCACGCCTGACCCTGAGTTCCTCACCGGTGAGTGAGCCTAGCTGGACCCACTGCCCAGCTTCAGCACCCACCCCTCCCAGGGGATGTCTGCCATGGGATATGTCCAGTCTGGCTTCAGCATCCCACAGCAGCAGCGGTAAGAGGAAAGCATTAAAAATGAAGGACAGGGAGAGGCTGTAAATTAATTGTGTGGCGTTAAAGGTCAAGTGTCCATTGGATATTTGGGGTATTTGCAAAATTGATTTTTTTTAATTCAAGGCAAAAAAGTTTTCCAAACACCTGTCATTTGATTTCCAAGTCTCTGGTGTAACAAAGCCTTCAAAACCTGCCACAAGCAAACCAAAATGCTTAATTTTGTCCTGCTAGAGCATCATTGGGCCATGAGCAACAGGGTTCTCATGGATTCCTAGACAACCTTCGAGGATTTACCTTTCTTCCACCAAGTTACCAGCACCCCTAAATAGCCTTTCCTCCCTCAGTGTTGGTTGCTGTTGGCTGAAATGGCTGAGGACGCCAGGCAGCTACTGAACGAGGAATGTGGATAATGAGGTGTTTCGGAAGTGGTCTGCAGGGTCTATGGGCTGCACCCAGGGTCTGATGGGTGCTGGTCACCCCATAGGGTGCATGGCAACGTAGGTGTGCGTGGAGGCAGATGCAGGCAGGGAGGAGGATGCTGAAGGGTCCCAGCGGGGCTGAGCCCCCCCTTGGGGAGCCACATCAGCAGGTTGTCCCTGCAGCCCTGGGGATGCTCAGCCATGCTTGGAGGTGCTCAGCTGTCCTCCCGGCTGCATCAACATGGCTGCATGGACAGAACGACAGCAGCACTGCTGCAGCCTCGGCATCACGGTGGGGTCAGCGGGGTTGGCTTTCTGCTGGCAATTATGCCAGGCAGGCAGAAGGCAGTAAATTATCCTGGTCATTTCCCACTGCTCTGCTGGCTCTTTGTGGCTGATTAAGGAAAAAAAAAAAAAAAGTATAATCTTCTCTGCTTGTCAGTAAGCAGATGTGAATATTGCTGTGAAAACATGAGAGGCAGAGCTGCTGAGTAAGGAAGGGCTGTTTTTGCATAAACGCTTTGCAGGGAAGAGCAAGGCTTTGAAGCTGTTGGTAGCAGCCAGCAGTGAGGGGAGAGGCACCGGAAGGCAAAGGATCTTATCCTCCTTATCCTCTGCCTCCATTTCTTGTTCTGGAGCGGGAGTTGCCTGTTGTTATCCTCCCAAACTCCTGCTGGGTGGCTGTTCAGCAGCAGAGTTTGCCCCTTCACTGCTGAGCTGGAGGCGGCTGTGTCCCGGCATCCCACTGCGGCACACTGAGGGATGCACCAGTCCTCAAAATCAGAGCCATGAGCACCCTTCAGTTCCCTTTCTGGGGTGTCATCCAAGGCTCGGTGGCCTCTCGGTTCCTCTGCTTATGGAAGCTGAGCTGTCGTGTGCCTTGGGCAGGACGAAGTGGCTGCCCATAACACCCAGAAAAAAAAAGAGAATGGGATGGCTTTGCCTGGAGAAGGAGAAACCCCAGGTCCTGCTCAGCCCCGGCGTTGCCATCATGTCCCGAGGGATCATGAGCATTGAGAGGCGTGCGATTTCCCCCGCACGTGAGTGTTCTGCTTGGCTCAGTCCCAGCCGAAGGGACCGAGGGCTGCACTTGGGCACACGTGGCATGACGGTGACCATTCCCAGGCCTGCAAACAGCTCATTAAAAAGCGCAACTCTCATTAGTGAAATAATTAGCACACCTGGGCATGTCTTGGGAGCTTGCGCCGGGAAGGAAGCAGGAGGGGATGCAGGATGAGGCTCATTATCTTCCGACGCAGAGCCCCGGTCAGCAGGATGAAACGAGCTGCCGTGTTTGCCTTCAAAGCCATGATTTTAATTGCCGGGGAGCAGCTGACCCTCAGCTCTGAATGCCTTGCCGCCTTCCCCAGGGGTGACGTGGTGTGTGCGCAGCCCTTTCCCCTGACTACTTCCCCGGACACAGCATGAGGGGCTGCAGCTGTCCCCACGGCGAAGCATCCCTGGGCAGTGGTGCTGAGCCCCCGTCTCCTTTCTCCGGCAGGGATGGTGAACTTCAGCGAGGTGTCCGGGTACCCACTCCTGCAGCACTGGAAGGTGCGGTCCATCATGTACCATGTCCGGCTCAACCAGCTGACCATCTCCCAGTGTAAGCGTGCAAGGCTAGGGGGAAGAAGGGGAAAAAAGGGGTGTCCGGAGGACAAACAGCCTTCTTCTGGCGGGTGGGGGGCTCAGAGGTTGCTTGCCCATCGCAAGTGTGTAGGGAGGTGGCAAGGGCTTGGGGTCCTCTGGGATCTGAGCATCTCCTCCCATCTCCTCCCCAGCCTTCAGCAATGCGCTCCACTCTCTGGACGGGGCCACCTCCCGCGGAGATTTTGTGGCTCTGCTGGACCACTTTGGCAACCATTACATCCAAGAGGCCATGTACGGCTTTGAGGAGACCTGCTCCATCTGGTATCCCAACCGGCAGGTCCAGCGGCAGCTCTGGCTGGAGTATGAGGACATCAGCAAAGGTAGGAGCCCCGCTCATCCCCAAGAAGGGTCCTCACAGCCACCCCATGGGAATGGGGAGCTGGGTTTACTTTCGGCATAGCAGGGAAAGTGCCCAGCCTGCACCAGGGCTGTGTCCTGTCTCATCCTTTTACTTCCACCCCGCTCTTGGACCCTTCGAAGGCAGACAAAGGACTTCCATGGACTGCAGCAGGCATCGGTCCAGGCCAGAGAGGAAGATAAATTCCCACATCCCCAGGGAGATGAAGATGAATGCACTAATCCCACCAAGCCATCCTGCCGGATTCTGCACTTAACTGTTATTTGTCTTTAATCCTGTTCCTTGCTTGCTTTTGTCTCCGCCGTATCTGCTCTCTCCCACTTGCATCCCGCAGCCCGACTTTTCTCCTCCTAATGTATTTTCTTCTCCCGGGCTGTCAGCACAGTGCTTTTAATATCTAGAGCCCAGTTATGAACTGGGAGGTTCACCATGGTACAAAAGCCGCTGCTTTTGGGGTGCCCTTGGTTTGCTGCCACTGCCCAGGAGCCCCTGGGTGCAGGCAGAGGAGCTCACAGGCACCGTGACTGCCATGTCATGTCCACTGTGAAGATTCTTAATTCTCAGTATTGGCACCAGCGTACGGTGCTGCTCTTGCTGTGCCCTGGCCGCAGAGATATTTGTTTCATCTCCAGGGCTCTTGTGTGGGAGAGGCTCCTTTCCGAGCCTGAGTTGGGATCCTGTGGGCTCAGACCTCCTGGAGCCTGGACTTCTTCCCAAGCCCACCTGCGAGAGTACAGACCCGTTCTGTTTTGCTGTGGACTGTCTCCAGATGTAGCATCTTTTGATTGCAAGTACTTTTTTTTTTTTCCCCTCCTGCAATTTCCTCCTCTTTGATTTTCCTACTTGGAGGCTTTTCAGGTCTGGCAGTCTCTTTCCACCCACAATATCACATTTCGGTTTCGCTCTGGCACCTGCCACTTTCTTCCCTCCTTTGCTTTTTGTTTGCAAACGTCAGGAGCTGGATATCGATTGGGAAATTGCAAGAGACAAATCGTTCCCTGGCTCCTCTGCTTTCCCTTGGCGCCTGCTAAGCTGCAATTCACAGCCAGCGCAGAGCAATCCTTTCCCAGCTCGCTGGGGGAGCGGAGCAATGCTCTTGTACCCCGAGTTTTCTTTAACAGCCTTGTTTTCTTTGCAGGAGTCTCGAGGAGAGGCTGGCGCTGGCCCATTTCTCAGCAAACCCTTGCAATAGGAAGATATTCTTATTGAGCCGTGGATGTGCTCTCCAGCGGCTCCCGGCAGCAGCCAGCCCCCACCAAAGCCACTGCTGGCAATGTCCTGAGCCTGCCCCAGGGGCATCCTTCGGCTTCCTCCGACCCCAACAACCATCATCAATGGGCCCCTCTTTTTTCGGTGTAGAGCCAGGGGCATCCTTTGGGGTGAAAAGCATCGTTCCGCTGCACAGCAAGGCTCTCAGCGGTGGGGCAATGCTAGCCAGGGCACAGCAGTGACGGGCAGATCCTACCTTCTTTACTGCTGTGCCAGGACTTTTCCCCTTGGGTCAAAATATTTCCCGCTATGTGAGCGCTGGAGAAAAACCCCCCAAGGGTTGCCTAAGGGTTGGCAGTAGATTTTCCCTATTGTGCACAAGGCAGAGGGTAAATGGGCCTTCAGTCTTGTCCTAGTCTGGCTGGCGGTCTGCGGTCCCGATGAACACATCTGCCTCCATCGCACCATTTTCTTTTGCTTCGTGGTGGTGCTTTGTCCACCTCCATCATCCCCCAAACAGTGTGAAGAGACAGGAGGAGCCAGGCTTGAACCAGCTCCCGCAATGGAACCGCTCCGCAGCTCACTTCCCTGTGTGAGGACTGAGTGCAGGAGGGGTGAAGGGGCTTGGTCGCTTTGTAGCCATCTCGGGAGCTTTCTGGGCATCGTTAGGCACTGGCAAGTCTTCCTTGCTCATTCTGAGCTCTTTGGTGCTGCTGGCTGCAGACCTTTGGGGTGCAGGGGCACTGAGTCAGCATCATTGCTGTGCACCCTGGTCTGACGCTCGTCCTATCTGGTCACCAACATGCTCCGTCACGTCAGCTTTGATGGGGGTCCTTGGGATCCAACGAAGAAATCAGCTGTTGGGCCGGGAGGGCTTTTGCAGCAGGGGGGTTTGGTGGGGGGGCTTTGGCAGGATGTCATCATGGGGGGAAGGTGCCCAGGCAGGTCCTTCATCAGTCTCCAAGCACACGAAGGTGGCTCCCTCTCCTGGGGACCTGCTGCAAGGGTGGTCAGTCCCCATGCTAGGCAAAGGGCTGGGGAAACTGAGGCATGGAGAGACAAAAGGACCCGTGATGGTAGAGTCCAGGGTGAACTTTTCAGTCCTCATTTATCTTCTGAAGACCAGTGAGCATTTAATGCCTAAAAAAACCCAAATCAAACCAAAAGTGGGCAACTCCTAAGGATACCAGGGGGTCTCTGGGCAGCACTGCCCCTCTTCTGGGTGGAAGGCAGGGCTCTAGCCCCCTCACATCCCCTTATCAATGGCTCAGACCTCACTCCAGTGCCCCTCTTTTCCCCTTTCCCCAGGCAACTCTCCCTCGGACGAGTCAGAAGAGCATGAGCGGGACCCCAAGGTGCTGACCTTCCCTGAGTACATCGCCAGCCTCTCTGAGTCAGGCACCAAGCGCATGGCAGCTGGCGTGCGGATGGAGTGCCAGAGCCGC